GTTTCCTGAGCTGACTCACCAAAAACTAGAGGTGTCAATCAAAATAAAATAAAGAATACCAAAAGTGAAAGGCCACTTTCTCTTACGTTGTGAGCCATTTCAATTAATCTCACCTTCGCGTTCCTAGAACTTTGGCTCGAGGATATCTTGAGATGACTGAATTGTGTGCTGTTGGCATGTTGGATTGACGTGCCTGGGCTGAGGAGGGCCACCATCTACGAGGGCTTGTGCAGATTTGAGTGTTTTGGGCTGAAATACAGACACATCAACAGAGAGAAATAAATGGAACTTGTCACCAGTATGAGCAGCAAACACCGGGGTCCATCCCTCACAAATTATGGACATCTGTATTCCTAATTGGCATTCTTTCGGGCTGTGCCAGCCGAATGGCAGTGCCAGGAGAGCAATAGTCTCCGAAAATATGAGATGTCACGTTTAGGTGACAAGAGACACGGATGAGGTATAGGAACCCCATTGTAAGGAATCTTGGTCCATATGGTCGTTAGATCACTGGTGACTTTGGGTTTGAGGGACCTCCAAATGGCATGCTTTATCCAGACTGAAAGTGCTGTTTTCAACGCAGATGCGTTGATGGTCTCAGAATAACAAGTGGTTTGGTGGTTGCATGCCAGAAGAGTCGGTAGTAGAGACGCATACAAATAGTTAACAAGGTAATGGTAAGAAATGTTGACCTTGATTTGTTTAGCTAAGATGTAAAGATTTTTGAAGGTCAAAGGTGTCCCCGTGTAGTGTTTTGGAGTCTGGCTGTGTCTGACCCTCTAACATTAAGCTGCTGTGGCCTGCAGGTTTGAGGAGTGAAGCAAACCAGGGGGAAAGCGAGGAGGGGGAGGGACAGGAAATGGAGAGAGGTGTTTCAGGAAGTTGTCAGGGCTTGACTGATTGATTCCAGATGGAAAGGGTCAGCCTCCATGACCCAGGAAATACTCACTAGGGGAAAGGAGTTGGCTTGTGGAAGGGGAAGGCCTGGGAGTGAGATGATGTGGGAACACGCACGTTCTACTTCCTTCAAGCCTTGAAACATGTCGAGCTCCGTACTCCTTGGACTAGAATAATATCGTTGTCATCATCCATCAGAGAGCAGAGAAGGAAGTTAAACCCGAAGCCTTGACTGAACCAAGTGGATCTTCCCGTCCATTATGTAGTTTATTCTTCTAGAAGCAGGGAGAATGGTGTAAAGACCAGTACGCACAGGTCTCCACAAGTAAGAGCGGCAACTCACGTCTGATTTCATGTGGTGGAATTTGTGAATCAAACCCACTAATTTTTGAAAATTTAGCTTAATTGGCAAACTTCCCTAGGTACCTCACAACCTAAGATATTTTAATGTAAAAAATAGAACTTGCCACACACACACACACACACACACTCACGCACACATACACATTTGTGCGTGTGCACACGCATGCACACACACAGGCACATACATTTGGACATAATTTAAAATCTTGTAATAAATTTTGCAGACACTGAAATAATTCAGGTTAATTCCCTTGCTGTCACGAGAGGCCAACACTAGCCAGCAAAAGATTAAAATTTATTTCCATTGTTAATAGAAAATAATGAAGCGTATGTGAGCCGCCAGGGTGTATCATTTGGGAAATGTTCACTTGGAACTGAGTCCCACTCCACCCAAAAATGACAATGATGAAATCTGCTGGCCAGGGAAAACTGCATTTTGTGGCAGGGATGCTCGAAGAGTGTCGATGGACAGGACGACAGGCTTGTGGAAGGAATCCAGCTCCTCCTGAGTGACCGGTCCTCACAGTGTGTCATCTTTTGGTGGGGCTAGGGTTCCCCTTATTCTTTGGATAGGTTAGTAAGGAGTAGTGCCTGAAGCTCTCTCTTTAATTTTTGTTTTAATTTGAAGACATGTTTTGCACGCATGGCTGCCTGTTGCCTCCCTCCCCGCCCAGTTCAACTCTTTTCAGAGATAGCATGTACGTAGGTGACATTCTTTAGCCCCCACAGTCCCCAATCCTGTGACAACGAGGTCTGTTTCTTCCTCTGACTGAGGCGTGGTCTTGTGCTCACCGAAATCTGAAAAGCTTCCAAGCCTGGTGCCCTTGGCCGAGAGTGACGGATGCCTGTTTTGCGGTCACCACCAGTGGGTATGAACTATCGAGAAGGAGTTTCTCAGATGTTCACATGTTAACACAGGCACAATTGGAAACAGACCTAAGGCTAGACAGGCTACTTCCCTGGATTGTGAGCAATCATACGGGCGATAATTTTCTGAATGACAACTGAGCTTCCTTTAAGTTTGTTCTCTGAGTCTCCAGGGCCTGTCATGACTCCTGATGTGTAGTTGGAGCTCAGTGATTATCTGTTGAGTTGAATGATTGAAACTCATTGACATCCATGTGATGTGGGATTCCCCTCTGTATACTGTGAATATCATTGGTTAATAAAAGAACTGCTTTGGGCCTATAGCAGAGCTATAGGGGAACAGAGCTAGGTAGGGAAAACTAAATGGAATTCTGGGAGAAAGGAGGAGGAGTTAGAGAGATGCCATGTAGTCCCGCCAGAGACAGATGCTAGAACTTTAGCCAGTAAGCCACAGCCACGTGGCGATACTCAGATTAATAGAAATGGGTTAAATTAATATGTAACAGTTATCCAATAAGAAGCTAGAGCCAATGGGCCAGGCAGTGATTTAATTAATACAGTTTCTGTGTTATTATTTTGGTTCTGGGTGGCTGGGACGAACAAGTGACCCCCTCCTTACAACATCCATGTAAAATTTTCATATAGGCTACATCAAGCCCTCAGAGTAAGGCTCCTTGAAGTGATTTGTGGAGTCATGGGTCCTGGGGTTCTTTTAACTCTATTAAATTATAAGTCTTATAAAATGTTAAAAGATGCCATGCAGTAGCTTGATAGCTCAGCCAGTAAAATGATTGCCACGTTAGGCACAAGGACCTGAGTTTGAAGACTCATTTTAAAGAAGCTACATGGAGTGGCATGTGCTTATAATCCCGGAAGTGAGAAGGTGGTGACAAAGAAGATGCCCAGGGCTGCTGTTGAGCCAGCCTGGTCTAACTGCTGAGTGCCAGACCAGTGAAAGACCAAAACCAAGGTGGCTATCACTTGAGAAATGCCACCCAAGGTTGACCTATGGCCTACATATGCATTCACATACAAAGGAACACACACACACACACACAGGCACACACACACACACACACACAGAGGCACACATACACACACCTGAAATTCTCTGCAGGGCAAAAGAAAACAAAATGAGAGAAGATTATTGCTTGGGATTATTCCTGACTGGGAAGCGATATGAAATCATTTTCTGCAGGGATAAAATATTCTACTCATGAGAAGGGGATGGATTATGCTGTGAAGTTTTACCTTGACACTCTCAAATCCGTGGGTGCCATAGAATCTCCTAAAGCAGAGTGAGGAGGTGACCGCGGGCTAGATGAGAAGAGCAGCATTTGAACAGGCTTGGAAGTTGGACGATGGGCTCTCAAATTTCATTTTGCTCTTCTGTCGTTTCCTTTGCCTGAAATTCTTCATAATAAAATGCGTTTTTAAGTAACAGTGGATTGTTTCATATGAAGATACAAACAAGGTCAAGTTCTTTCACCCTCCTCTTTTGTTTAATAAGTTAGGAAGGCGTGGCAGAACAATTACAGGTAGGATAGCAAGAGATTGCATTGGGGCCATCGGCAGCAGGAGTCGTTCTGAAGCGCAGCTCATTAGATTATTCGGCGCCCTTCCTGGAACGATCTATACATATTCATGAGCATGTATGTAATAAGTTTCTATACATATTCATGAACATGTATGTAATAAGTTTCTATACATATTCATGAACATGTATGTAATATGTTTCTTTCTCCAAAGAGCCGCAGAAGGCCTGCTGTGCAGAACTACATGGGTTGAGAAGTAGCATTCCACCTGGGACACTCTTCTTGCTAGGTCAAGTTCACGGGTGGTAGGTGTGGCCAGGCAAGCCCTTTTCTGCCTCTCTCTGCTCACTTCTGCCTCTGGACCCCTTTCACAATCTGACCAGCAGCATGTGGAGACTAGCATTCAATTCCACGGCCTTTGTGCCTGTCCTGTCCTGTGTGTTAGCTACCATTCTGCAGTCTGCACGTAAGACCTCTGAGAGCAATAGTATGGCTCTGCCTTCCAGTTACTACGGTGATAAGTGCTGATGTCTTCCTTTCTGGAACCTTCTCCAGAGTTTAGACCATGGTAGAGCTGCACTGGACAATCTCATCTGTCTTAGCAACTGCACAAGAGGAGGCAGGAGTGAGGCAAATGGACACAAATCACCATCATTTGGCCTGCACTTCACATTGTGCCAAATGCTCTACAAGCACTATCCCATCTTATCTCCCTCAGGCCTGCAAGGCCGAGAGCATTATTTATGTTTCCTAGACAAGAAAAACTGAGATTTCTCTGAAGATCCAGTGATTTGTCCATGGGGTTACGATAGGAGAAGTGGCCTGGGATTTCGATTCAGTTTCTACTCTATGCTCTTGCTCTTCCTCATTGCGCACCCACCCCTCCCCTTTCCTCCAGTGAGACACGAAATCTCCTGTAGCTCCCATCCTGTGTTCTCAAGCACAGGGACGTACAACTGATCAGCCAGAATGCCAGGGACTGTATCTGAGGTACAGGGTTCCCGTTTCCAAGCTTGGAGAAGTGAGCTTCCTGATGGAGTTGCTGTCTTCGTTCTTGCATTGTCCTGTCTGTGACTGTGACTGCGGCTGCAGGGCAGGTCTGCTGGTGGTGAGGTTTCTGGGACCAGCAGACATGTCCCTTGTCATGATGTGAACAGAGTTTGCACTCAAAGGCACGAAAAGGGAAACCCGTGGGCCAAGGGCTGCCTCTGGTTCCACTCCAAAGTGCCGTCCTGTCTCCCACTTGCCTTGCGGAAGAAGCCTTCCATGAGGGTTCCCGGTACCTTGACAGCCTGGAGTGAACCTGACCAAGCTCTCCCCTTGTTGCTCTAAATGCAGGTCGTGTTGTCAACAACGGTAAATGTGGACGGGCATGTGCTGGCTGTGTCCGACAACATGTTTGTACATAACAACTCTAAGCACGGAAGGAGAGCAAGAAGGCTTGACCCGTCAGAAGGTAGGACTGGGAGCCAAGGCAGATAAGGTGTCCGGTACTTGTTCCTATTGTTTGTTGGTTTATAGACAAAGCTTCTAGCCCAGGCTCGTCTCAAACTCACAATCTAGCTAAGAAATGACCTTGAACTCCTGTTCTTCCTACCTCCATTTCCCCGGTGCTGGGATTGCAGGTGTCCACCACCACACTCAGTCTATGCAGTCCTGGGGATCGAACACGGGGCCTCTTGTGTGCTAAACAAGCCCTCTACCACCTGAGCCACATCGCCTCCAGCGCTGCCATAAATACTGGTAGTGGACTCCCCTCGACTCCCAGCCAGGACTCAGGTTCCTGCGCCTCTCCGCCTCTTCTCCTCCGACCTGTGTTTTTCTTTCAGCGAGGCTGGTATTTCAGGCGATCGCAGGCCTATGACATCTTAGTTAAACAGGAACAGCACCGTGCCAGACGCGTCTGAATAAGTGTCAGATGTGCCCTTAAACAGATTGTGGGCAAAACAAAACAATGTGGAGAGTGAAACTGACACTAATTGATTTTTGTTTGCTTGGACAAGAAGAAATCATGGGCGGCTCTGGGTAGTTTTCCAAGTGCATTAAACTAATTAGAAATACTGGTAACTGTTAAATTTCAAGTTGTCCAAAAAATTAAAGTCTATCCATGAACAAACCGACAAGCCTGGTGAGATTCCATCTCGCTTGCTTCCCTTTCCTGCCTCTCCACAAACTTACCGGTGTTAGAAGACCTCACGGTGCAGACAAGAGTCCAATCTTGCTATGATTTTAATGTCGATGCTTTCCTACATGCTGCCCACCCGCCCTCTTCCCAGCTCAGCCCTTAGAATGGATCTTATATCATTTTAAACAGGAATTAATGAACTGAAAGAAAATGATTGAATCGGTAAAGAATTTGGAGTGGTGTTAATTCTCCCACAGTGGGCACTGAAAGGGAAGAAGAAAATCCTAGAGTTCAGAGCCCCTCGAGTTGCTTTTGACTGATTGGATGTGATTGACTGGCCGTTCAAAGGGGGCTCATGTTTTTGGAGTCCTGCCAAAGTTCTCCTCCACCTCTGACCCTGTCATCTTGGGAAATGGAGTGATGGATTGACTTTAGTTATGGCCAGAACACCGTATTGGGTTCCTGTTGGGAAGCAAAGTCCAGGGGCCTTGAACATGTGCGGGAAGGGAGGAAACGCGGTTCCACCAAGTTGGGAGAGTGACTAGAGGTTGTCTCTAGGTGGGGTTGAGCAAACCCTTCAACCTCGATAGATCCTGTTTCCTCCTCCTCTCCCCGGCATGTTAACAAGCCTTGTAAATCTTAACATTGTAGGGTAGACGAGGTGGGGAGAGAAAAGGGATTTACACTTTTCTAGAGTGTTCAGTGTATAAAAATGTGGGCAAAAACAACAGCGTTTCAAAAACACCCTTTGCACAATTAGCTAAGTGTTTCAGTCTTTCATACATAATGGCCAACTCATTAAGCTTTAATGACCTGGTTAAAACCAACATCCAATTAGGGGAGGACGGCAAAGCAACGCAGCTCAACTTGAACTTCTCGGAATGACCACCAGTTTTCCAGGATAGCGCCTTTCCCAAACTCCAGACATCACCAGCAGAGGACACAGAACTGATTTTGTTCCTTCTCGTCTTTCTAGCTACACCCTGCATCAAAGCCATCAGCCCAAGTGAAGGCTGGACCACAGGAGGAGCCATGGTCATCATCATTGGTGACAACTTTTTTGATGGTCTCCAAGTTGTGTTTGGTACCATGCTTGTATGGAGTGAGGTAGGTCAAAGCCATTTGCTTGTATGATCTCCTTTGGTTTTATGGTTCTTTGGGGCTGGAGGGACTAGAAATTCCTAGAGCAGCAGCCCCGTGAAGACTCAGACCTTTGTACCTACGATGAGAAGACACCCAGGGCATCAAGACATGGAAAGCATACATTTGGGGAATGAATTCCTTAAAATGATAAATATCCATTGCAGTATTATGTAAGATGGTAAAAAATTAAAGTCTAAATATTGGATCATAGGAGGGTAATGGAGAGAAAAGGTTAGGATATTTTTCCACCATTGAAAATTATGTTTTGGAAAGTTTCTAATGATACCAGAGACGAGCATGTTTATGCTATGAAGCTGAGTGGTAAAAAGTCAGAGTACCAGTGGATATGTATAATCTAATTCTGTGACACACAGCCATCGAAATGTCTGGGCAACGCACCAGATCTTAATATTGGTTGTCTCTGCATTATATAATTTTAGATTTCTTTGCACAGTTCTGTAAATTCCAAATGTTCTAAATTGGATATGTTTGACTTACAATTTATAATCAGTGAAATAAACTAAGCACATTACTAAAAGAGAAGTATGGGTGAATGGGTGCTGAGTTGGGCTTGGCAATGGCCGTCAGCAGTGGCCTCTGTGGTGGTTTGTCTAGTGACTGTCTTTCCTCGTCTCTTCACTTCTCAGCTTATAACCCCCCACGCCATCAGGGTGCAGACCCCTCCCCGGCACATCCCTGGAGTTGTGGAGGTGACACTCTCTTACAAATCCAAACAGTTCTGCAAAGGAGCCCCGGGCAGGTTCATTTACACAGGTAAGAAAGAAAATGATTTCTAAGGCAATTGGTTCCTAACTCCTCTTTGCTCCAGTTACCAGGATCTCTGTAATCAGCCCAGTTAGTCTAGGTCTTTCTGGGACTGCATAAGAATGGATTGAGTGACAGACATCAAATGGGGACATGCAGGTTCAATTCTAAATTTGAACTTTCCTCGTGAAGCTTCTGTATGGTCTGATTGATGACCATGGTAGCTCATATCGGGAACCCACCCTTAGAAACTGATCTCTTTACAGCCATGCTGGGGCAGCCTTTTGTATAAGCAATCGCATAAGCATAATCCAAGTTGTTGGCTGTGAGTTCTCTTGACCGTGATTCAAGAACGTGGCCCAGCAGACTGGTGCAAAGTATTTCAAAACCCTACAAAAGCAAAATCCACCCAGCCATTCAGTTTTCACTGAGTGTCCCCTTCGGATTGTCGACACCAAATAAATCAGTTGAATGGCTGCTTTCTCTGGGTGAGGAGTACAGGGGATGCACAGGACACTGGTCCTTCCGTGTCTGGAGGTTTAGGAACTTGTGAAGGAAACGGTTGGTGGACTGTCCAGCACAGGCGGAGACTCTCTAAATTCAAGATGAAATATGTGTGAGTTGGAGGAAGAAAGCTCGGTGTGGGCTGGTATCGTGAGTTTCAGAACATCCACCTGGGCTCAGTGTGGCCAGCAAGGAAGGGGAAAGAAAAAGTTATTGTTGTAGCTCCCACTGGGGTACCGGTCACTCATTCATCAGTGCTTTTTGTGGAATGATGTAACTCTAGGTATGGGATACTGAAGTGAGGGAAGTAAAGAGTCTTTAGTGAAGGGAACTTTCTAGGGCCCAAGGCAGATGGTAAAGGCCATGCACAGTGTGGTTTCAGTCAGGTGTAAATAAGGGCAGGAGAATGGGAGCCTCAGGCGGTTCAGCAGGAGGCCACTCTGAAGAAGACATTGATCTCCAAACAGTATCACAGGAAGGGACAACCCACAGAAATGCCCTCCTGCCCTTACCTCTGCCCTCCTCTGTGATAAATTCATATTGCTTTCCTATTACTCCAAAGCCCCACAGAGCTGGCAGGTCCCTGGTTGTTCCTGGTACTGTACCTGGAAGTCCATGACTCTGTTGGAGCGATGGGGTGTGCTTGGAAAAGAACACAGCAAGATGATGAGCCAGAAACGAAAGCCCAGTGCCACTGAGCAGGAGCAAGGATGCCAGAGTATTAGAATGAAGACCCTGGGGTGGGGAGCTATGGGGAATGAGGAAGGCAGGCAGGTAGGATGTGGGGAGTATGGAAGATGTCAAGTTAAGGAGTATCTAGACAAGAGTAGGAACTGCAGGGGTGGGTGTTGCCATGGATTGGAGGAATCCATTGCTCCACAGTGGAGAAGGCTCCTTGGGATTCCAACAAGGAGAGCTGAGAACAGTGAGGAGGAGCTGAGAAGGAGAAACTGGGAGAGGAGAAGCCTGGGAAAATGGATTGTCCCTGAGGTCTAGTGAAGAAGGCTCCAACTCCAGGACACTTAACTTACACTTCGCATCTCCTGTGTTTTGTCCAAGTTCCCCTGGGAGTAGATGAGGAGTTTAGACTTGGAAGATGTAGGTGAATATTCTAACAGGTACTTTGAAGCCAGCCTTCCACTCTCTACTGAAGTTGGGAATGATCTCAGCTCTTATGGGACTGTAGACACTTGGAGCCAGATGGGATGTATGTGTGTGTGTGTGTGTGTGTGTGTGTGTGTGTGTGCGTGTGCGCGCGCATTTGCAGACTTCCCCTGAAAGCTGGGGCTTTTGCTCCTACCTGCATTTATAATTGCCGAAACCTACCTTGACAAATGATGCCAAATCTCTCAACCTCTAACTCTGTATAGTCGTTGCATAAATATATATTTGAAATTATGTTCAAGATACAAAACCAGTAGCATCGGGATACTTTTGCATCCTACGCCTTCTAGAAGAGAAGATGCATATCCTGGATCCCAATAATTAGCTTAAGCCACAGAAGATATGTAAAAGCAAAAAGGGTTGTTGGAATATCTATCAGGGAGGGACTAAGTTGGGGGAAAATCTAGACCAAGTTCCTAGAGTAGGGAAGGATACAGGGACATTTGAATGCAGTAGTTTTTCAACTGAAAATGTATAGTTTCTTGGAGACTATGTATTGCTTCTTGGAAACAGGCATAGCACCTAGCAGCAGAGAAAGCCTTGAAGCCATAGCTGCTGTATGGTATGACTAAGTGTTAGCAAAGCTCTCTCTTCCTGCTTTACTAAGATGTGATTTTGCCATGTATTGTTATTGGTTTGCTGATACGTTCCTGACATCGCCATGCTTTTTGTGTGCATTGAGAACACATAATGCTTAGCTTCATAGACATTGAACATGCACGCCCTGCTCAACACTGATACCTGGGACACTCCAGACCTGCCGGCTCACACCTTCAAAGACACTAAGGTGTGAAGGTGTCTGTACCTGTTGTAGAGTCAGCATGTTGGGACACATGGCTTGACGTGCTAGCTAAAGACTTTTCTCCATCTAATAAGGTAGGATATGCAGGCCACAGACTGAGGAGAGGGCACAGGAACCGTGTGCTAGAAGCAGCGGTACCATGGTAAAGGTTGGACAACTGGCTCTCCAAGTGATTCAAAACCGAGGTGGGCTTGCAGTAATTCCCGATTTTCTTGGTGCAGACACTCTTACCACCGTGATTCCAAGCTACAAAGTGGGTTCCTGGAAGTGCAATCATCTGCTCTCACAAGCTGGAAAACCAGGACTTTGTAAATGCTTAGGATGGAACATGGAGACAGTAAACAGGATGTTAGATACACGCTCAGAGTGTGTCACCGATATCGCTTTTCTTCTCACCTTGGTGCCGTCGTGGCCTCTGGCTTGAGCAAGGAATGGCAAGTGTGATGAGCACTAATTCTCCTGTGAGACGCTGGGACTAGGTGTTAGAGCCACTGAACTTTGTATTTGTTGGTTTATTTTTGAAGCAGGGTCTAACTATATAGCCCAAAGTGGCGTTGAACTTGGGGTCTTCAGGCCTTAGCCTCCCGAGTGCTGAGATAAATTAAATATTTTCAAACTTAAGTGTTGAGAAGAACTTAGAATCAGCCAAACAGGGCTTAGGACAGGGAGGGTTCTGGGATGAGAAGACAAGTTTGATATTTGACTGACACCATGAACAAGATAGAAGGCCCAAATATAGGGAAGTTTGGGGCCAAGCAGCGGGGGTAGAGAATAGATCACCTAGGAATATTCTCTCCAACTCATCAAAAACTATTGAGAATACTGTCAAGATCAGACAGTATTTTGCCCTTTCAGAAGCAATACTGGGGCTAGGCACTGGCTCAGTTAGCACAGGACTTGCCATAGAAACGTGAGACCCTGACACTGAAGCATAGCATACATGTTTAAAAATGTCTAGACATGGTAGTATGGGAAATCAGAAAAGAGGACAACAGGGGCTCATTGGCCAGCCGGTCCACTCCAATTGGTAAGTTCCATGGTTATGAAGAGATGTAGTCTCAAAAAGGAATCTATTGAAGAAGACTCTCAATGTAGACCTCTAGCCTCCACACAGGCATACGAATGAACAGATATGCTCTCATACATGTGAGTACACACACACACAAAGCCACAGCCACAGCCACACACACACACACACACACACACACACAGAGAGAGAGAGAGAGAGAGAGAGAGAGAGAGAGAGAGAGAGATACACAGTCACACAGTCTTTCTTGTCATGGTGCAGAGAAGGACTTAGAAGGCGGTATGGGTGCAGAGGGTCAACTGGAGGGTATTATGGTGGCCCAGACTGGCAACGACAGCAGCTTAGACTGCAGTGCTGGTGGTGGGGACAGGCAGAAGTGAGCAGAATTTAGGAAGCAGCATTGACGGGACTTGATGATTGATTAGATGGGGTGGCGGTTGGAGAGGGGAGGGATGGAGACAGTGCTCGGGTTTCACGTTTGAAAAATTGGGTGGGTAGAGTTAGAAGGTGATGTTTTTTAAGGTATAAAGTGCTGTGGGAGTTCAGAGGGAGGCCAAAGCACTTCCAGCTGGCGGGGAGGTGGGAAGATTTAATATTGTAAAGATGTCGATTAATGAATACATTTAGCACAATGCCAATCAAAATACCAGCAAAATGTTTGGGGGAAACTACACAAAGTTCATCTGGAAAGGTGATAAACTAGAACCCCCAATTTTGAAAAATGAAGGGGCTTGCCCCATCCAGACATTAAAACCACGTTCAGGTTTAATAATTAAATATAAGGTTGTGCAGGAGCGCATAGGAGTGTCAAAGAGCAGAAGACCAAAACCTAAAAACCAAGTCTTTGTGCTCACATTCAGTGCGTCTATACTTAACTGCCAGCAAGCTGGGGAGCTGTCTCATGTCAGTGAGGAAAAGACAGAGGTTTACATAATGTGATGGGCCCACGAATTCAAGAATTAGGAAGAAAGATTCAGGTTTCTATATGGACCTTGGCAACTGGAAATATTTTCAAATTAACTATTGGTCATTAAAATATAGATATGTCAAAAGTACACATCTAAAACATAATTGTTATCTTGAAACTTCCTCATCTGGATGTTAAAAAGAGACCATTGAGTCAAAATTAAAAGAAAATGGGACAATATATAAAGTAAAATTTGGCCCATCAAAATGTCAAACATCAAAATAACATAAGGAACCTCTTTAGTTCTGAAAAACATACTATTTTAGGTACATCCATTTGTTGAACGAAAGGTTTATACCTCCTATTGCCAACTGTCCTTTTTATTGTACTGTGGATAAAGATGTGATCTTTAGACATTCTTTATGTTAAGAGATGAAGACAAAGACCAAGGAGGAAGACAGCAAATATAATCATAACTAATTCATGGGTGTGACCGGCATGGTTATGCACACCTGTAATCCCAGTTCTTGGAAGGTAGAGGCAGCAGGATTATGAGTTCAAAGTTATCCTTGTCTACATCATGAGTTCGAGGCCAGCCTTAGCTA